TACGTGCATAATCATGGGGAACAGTTCAAAAGAGTTTGTTTAGAGCACTTATATTGAGGCATCCTGGCACAAAACACCACTTATTTTGTGATCCATACATGTCACTGTTTTCCATTGTGCAAGATAATAATAATAATAATCAATGAAATAATGATAATCACAATAACTTAACTAATAAAACAAAGCTGCGAAAACAATAAAATAAACATGAGACACTTTGTTGATATGACCTGCTACGTCACAATCGGGCTAGGCAACCGACGATACGGATTCGGCGTTTTTGGCGGAAAATGTCTGATTTGAATTTAAATTCGCTTTAAAATTATTATGGAGACTTTTTTTGCCAAAAGTCTCCAAAGTGCTCAAAAGTTAAAAAAAGGGAAAACACCCTATTAGGATAGTTGGAAAACTGGGAAAACATTATATTTGTCAATTTTCCTAGTTATTTAACAAAACTAAGGGCCAGTATGTGAGTTAAAGTTCCTTATCAGCTCTCCTTTTCGCCACAAGGGAAGGATCTGATGCTTTGTCGTTCTTCTTTCACCAGAACTAAAGTCTCTTCCTCCGTTTCGAGTGAGAATTTCTTCACTTTGGGCGCTGTTGGCGCTTCACGATTTTCACTACTTCCCATGCAACTGACTGGGGATTTGCAGAAGCCCAAACTCTGAGGTTTGTGATGAATCAGTTTACTTTCTCGTTCCCCACAGTTCTTCTTCGCTCCCTTCTGGAACCAGTAATTAAGCAATGAATCAACCGATATGCTCGATTTCCTGATGCCCCCATAACCGATCTGTTTAGTCTATTGACCTGAATTCTGCTGAAATTCTCGGTTAAAGGCCAATAAATTTGCAACCGCCAATGTTGTGCTTATAGCCAGCACACTTTGTCCAGATATTCCGCTCTTTTATTCGCTGCCGCTTAATTTATAGTGCAATTAGCCCAGTTACGGGAAGACGGCGTCCAGCTTAGTGCTAATTAATTTTATGAATATCTTGTTCGGAAGCTCGAAACCAATTTACCCTCGTCCGGCCGTTCGCAACAAATGGCCATGTAAATACAATTAATATGAGGATCAGGGTCGCTGCCACATGTATTATCTTAACTTTGTGTTTAAGTAGCGGCCAGAAAAGACGGATCAAAGAGGATGCGGGACTACAATGGGCCAGACTTGGAGTGTCTCTGATATTTGGCCTGGTTGCTTCCGATAGTCTACTGGTGGTTTCCCGAGGAAATTTGGAGCGCCCGAATTGAACTAAAATTAATTATTGCCGATAAGTTATCTTATGTGAGCGTTTGAAGCACTGGGGAATGACCAACAGCCCGAACAGCAGATTAAAATCGAAAATAAATGGTGACAAATTCGAAATCCGTTCGTTGACTTGCCAAACGAATAGCTAATATTGTAATGGATGGCAGGCCTGATTAAAGAGGTCCGATCCGATCATTAATAACAAAAAACCCGGTACAGGATCGGTCGTCTTTTTAATTTGTCAGAGGAAACAAAGCACCTGAGGCCCAAATCCGATATTAAATGGAGAGCGGAAAACACGGAGTTTATATTTTATGGTACCCCCGACGAAAATAACCGCATTTGTCATCGACAACTGGGAAATGATCATATTATTGAAAGCGACAAACAAGAAAATTCGATACAGGGAGGTTGGGATTAATCGCGATCTGCCTTGGCGCTCATGAATATATTGCTTCGAAATGGGGGATAAATCACTATAGAATTTGCTGCTTTCTACTAATTCCTGCTGTTTTTCATGCATAATTTGAATATAAACCCAACCGCAGACTTTGTCCAAGAAATACTCAATTTTGCTCCATTACATCACTTTTCATTGGGACGGCACAAGAAAGTCTGAATATTATTCCGGAGCGTGATGTGAAAGGAAAGTTGCTGATGACCTAAAGTTGGCAAAACAGTAGGCTTTTTAACAAATTTTTTAGATTGTTCATTCCACTCATGCCTGTTTCAAATCCTTGTATTCTTCTTTCACTGTTCTTTTGTGTTCTGCTTCGCTCTCTTGCACTTAGATTGCTATAATCAATAATCTTCTTACTAGTGCCTTGCATTTTGCCCCTAATTTCAGTCATCATCTTTTGGTTGTTGTCGTCCATTTAATCCATCTTTTCCTTGCTTCTATCATCCATTTGCTGCTGGGATCTCCATTGATTCGTGCGCCTTCTTCTCTCGGCATCTTCTTTCCGTCAAACTCTACTTAATTTACTTCTGCCACCACATTTACCAGATTCAAGTTATATTCAACTATAATTATGGATGCTTTTGATCCCCATTCCATCCAGGCAATTTCCGCCAGGAAAAACTCAAAATTTGGTCAAAAGCATGATTAAGCACGGTAAGTCCTGGGAGGTGATTAATAAAACCCTCGAATTTTTCCATCTGCCGATGAACTTCATCAGTAGCCCGAATGGGGCACCTGGAGCCCAATTACTTTATTAAAGGAAAAATGAAAGCTGCGTGTTCTAAACAGAACACAAATAAATTGGATTTACCTTCGTCAGACTTAAAAAAATCAAGCTCAGTCTTTTAAGAAAATTGCTTTTCAGCTAGCCAGAAAAATCGGTGAAGCTTTAGTTCTTTGGACCGGCCAGTAAAGAGTTAAAGTTGCCAAGTTAGTCGATAGTTCCTTTACAGCCCCGTCTGAATAGCAAATCGAAAAAGTTTCCCGAATTAAATTCGGGGAACTTTGCTGACCCTTTACATGTGTCTTTCATTTTGTAAACCTTTTCGGTAAATGTCGTTTTCAATTAGGGATTGGGGAAGTTTTTCGGTAGAGGAAAGTTTAGGCTAGTGGGGAGCGACAACCTAAATTTGGGGCCAACAGGAGAATTTTTGCAGCAAAAGGGCAAAACCAATGTATAAAAAGACTAGAATGTAATTGTTTGTCTTGTTTTAGGGTTTTTGAACGCCAACACTGACCCCTACTCGAAAAACCCAGCGAACTACGGCCTAATGGACCAAATCGCAGCACTGCACTGGATTCAAGAAAATATTGTGTTTTTTGGAGGAGACCCGACCAATGTGACGCTCCTGGGGCACGGCACTGGCGCTGCATGTGTAAATTTCCTGCTTACATCCAGTGCAGTTCCTGAAGGTAAAACTTTCAGTCCAAACATCCATTCAGTTGCACCGCATGTGTTTAATTGAACAAAGTATCGCTTTGGTCAAACATTGGAAAAGTTTTTCCATAAGCATTCAACACATTCGGGAGAAGTATTTTTCATTATCGCAGCATCTGTTCCATTCTTTTAAAATTCTTAGCGGGTTCCGCTTGGAAGCCTCATGAAACTCAGTTATATAGAATATCCGTGCGATACATGCACGAAACTTACTGAACTGTTAAAGAAACTTTTTACATATCTCGATGCTCCCTATTGATTTCTATTCGCGCCGAAGAACTTTTACTTAAATGTACAGAAGCGATAGATGGGCCTGTGGAGAGGGCCATATATTGTTTTCGAGAATGGAATCGCAGTTTTCGAGAAAATGATGGCTGTTTTGCTATCGGGAATAGCTTTATTAATAGAATCTGGCTTCCCTTTGCATGTTTTAGGATATCAAAGCTGAATATTCCTACTACTGAATCGACAGTTTTAATAGTCAAAAACTGTGTTGAATCCTCACAAGATCAAGCAAATTTGTGAATGGTTTTCATGCCTGGTTTTCAGAAAAACATTTTCAAAAAATTGTCTCAAATTGCCTGAAAATTGAAACTTTTGCCACTTATAAAGCAGATTTTGTCCTGGAATTCTGGAGATATGCGTTACTCTGGATGGAATTCACAAGCTCAAAATGCCCTTAAACTATTAAAAATTGCATGACAATTTCTTCAACCAAAGTTGAAACATTTTGGACGCTTATAACACGCCTTTCCCTACATAATTTTAGCATTTTTAAGTTTTCAGCTTTTTTCGATATTTAGTAAATAAATGCCAAACTTGGGCCTGCATAAACCACCGCTAATTTCTATATAAGTCGAAACGTTTTCTACGAATGGAATGTTGTTTGATCTACAAAATATGGCCACTAGTGAATTTCTAGCTTTATTGGTTTCTGAGAAGAAAGTTCCCAAACCGAGGCCTGCGTAGACAACTGCAAAATTCGATCCAAATTCGTAAAAAACCTTGAATATTGCCTGATGATGACTCAAAGTCGAAACTTTTTCCGCAATTCCACGAATAAAGCGCCTCTTTGCCGCCTGCAAAATGCAACCGAAAATGAGAAAATAATTGCCAAACTTGGACCTGCATAAACAGCCACAAAATTTTATTGTAAAATAAAAAAATGGAAAATTGCCTGTCGAAAGATCAAAACTTTTTCCACGAATAGAGCGATGCTTGCACTACAGAATATGGTCACTAATGAATATTTAGCTTCATTGGTTTCTGAAAAAATAAATGCCAAACGGCAAACCACCAAAGTCGATCGCAAGATTATAAAAATCAATGAAAATTGCCTGATGGTGACTCAAAATCGAATTTTTTACTGTTCATACAACAGACTCTATCCAATAAGGCCCAACTGAAATCTACTCTCCAACGTGACTAGTTCTTGCAAAATGTATAGGTTAACTCCAGTCTGTTTAAGCAAGAGCAAAATGCAGACAAAATTTCAAAAAATGCCTTGATGGTTTCTGCAAATTTCAATTTAAAACACCGGTAAAACAGATATTGCTATACAAAACACTCAAAAAGGAGGCTTCCTCGCTTAGTTAGTTTTTATATAAATTAAGGCCAAACTCCAACCTGCGAAAGAATCCTCGCGAACTGAAGGCAAATTTGAAAAAGTGTGTGATTAAAACGATATTCACTTTCCGAATGTACTTTGTGCAATAAAAGCTGTCCAAAAGTGATTTTCGTGCCACGCAAGTTGCAGAAGGAATAATTGCTAAACGCCAGGCTGCAAAATCGAACACCCAAACTAGACGGCAATTTGAAAAATTTTTGAAAATTGGCTGATGATAATCCGAAATTGAAACTTTTTGTTAAATAGAGCGATGCTTACCCTACAAAATATAGTCAGGAGTGAATCTCCAGCTTCATTGGTTCCTGAGAACGTCTAGCGCAAGGTTTTGTAAATCAAAAATATGTGAAAATTGCCTGATGATGACTGAAAATCGAATCTTCCACTGCCCATTAAACAGACCCCACTTAATAAGATCCGTATAAAATATACGCTCTAGCAAAATACAAGCAAAATTTTAAAAAATTCCAAAAAGTTGCATGATGGAAAAAGTTGCGTGAAAACTAATTCAAGGCTTGTCGACACAAAAAAAATAGCAGAATTTAAATATTTCCTTTAAACAGTGACAAATTTCACAATTTACAAGAGAATGATTGTCATATTAATCCTAAAATGAGTTCGTATACAAGGAGAGTGAAAGAATTCCATAATTCATAAATATATGATTGCCGTTTTCGTGTGAAGGAAAGTCGCAGTTTGAAAATAACAATTTTCTCCAAAAATTTGCTTGCTGCTTCACAGTCGCGTCAACACAAGAAACTCAGCCTTAAGCTGCTTAGCAGCAAACAATCTTCTGAGAAATATGCAAAATGTACAACGAAGTCCTCTACAAAATACCGCTGGGATTACTGATTGATAAATATGCATTTCCCGGTCAAATGGCGCATGAAAATAGAAAAAATTGTTTAAAATTTACATATTCAGACATTAATCGATGGGACATGATAAGCCATCCATCACACACGTTCAAATTGGAACACGTTGTTGCACTAATCCGGCAGCGTATAAATTATTTGGTGTGTTAATCGAGCGAGGTGTCATGAATTAGTTACCTGACTGCAATAGCTGCTCGGTAATGCAGTCTAAATGAGTAAATACTTTAAACGACTTTCGACTAGAGGTGGGATAAACAGTTATTTTTCTGTAACAAGGTTCCAACGTTCCAGTTCACGTTGGTAATAGGTTTCAAAACGCGGTTCCAAAAAGAACATGTTACTTTTAAAAGTTTTCATTAAAGATGCGCAATCTTATTAACTAACTTTTAAAATTTTTTGCAGATGCCTGAGTTCAAAGTATTACCCGAGTTAATTTTGGTACCACCGAAAAATACTTTAAAAAATAATGTCGACCTTACAACGCCTATATAACTAACTTTGATTTCATCTTGTGACTGAATTTATATCTAAAAATGGGTTTATGACGGTTCCAAAAACAACCGGTTAAATCTGCTAGCTGTATGTAACAATGTTATTTTAGCGGTTACGTTAAATACCGACCATCCCTACTTTCGACTAACTTTGTAAGGGAAAGAGGCGAAAATTGCGATGTAAACATGATTAACGTAGTTCTAAATAGTCAGCAGCAACATCATTAACGGTTAGTAATTCCAGCTAAAGCGTCTGGATGATGACGAAATTATAAAATGCTGTGCGTCATTTTCCATTGGATGAACGAATCCCCCGTCATGTCGTAAAAGACTGAAGAGACTGTTAATTCTGCCTAATAAATTCCAGCTCATTTGTAATAGAACTGGGGCGTTGCGTTAATGGAAACTGCTTCGACTGATGACGGTGCGGTAAGCAGAAATTCTCGTTAAACCTTATCAATGTCTATAGTCAACGTGCTTCCATTGCGAGAGTAGATTTAGATGGAGGTAACTGGCAAGACAGAGTGGCTTCTTGGGATTTATCTCAGGAGTTTTTCCATTTATTGTCCCTTTAATCACTTAGCAGGCTTGGAAGTGGAGTTATTTGCGCTTACTGCGAAATGTTGCGACATGAGCATCAGGCATTTTCATTTAACGCCAAATGGCTTCAGACGCACGTTTTAAACGAATAAAATTGATTTATTTGGACGGTGTTTAAAGTTCTTGCCCTATTGGCCAGAAAGGAGAATGTGTGAGCTCAATTCCCAAAGTACAGGAGGGAAATCACGATTAATTCACTAGAGCGTTAATGGCAAGATTTGAGGTCGAATTTCATACAGACGAGGATGCAATTAATATCGGCCTTGTGGCTAACTCAAATACAATAACCCCTTTATTCCATCCTGGCCGTTCATAGTTAATCTTAAGCTGACAGCAGATATTCGACTAATAGGGACACGACGCCCCGTTTATTGCCGGAAGTCGGTTGGCTTAATTGCTGACAATTCCGATTGAAAATTTAGTTCGAGGATAAACTCTAATTAAGTTTATTTGCACCTTACTTTCTTAGGATTTTAGAGCCATGCCCTGAAGAATAATCGCTACTTCTTTAGGAAATCGAGTCCAAATCTGTTCCAAAAGTTCCTAAAGCTCCCTTTTGGAACCGGAGTTGATTGGGCAAATGTAAGTTGGTTATCTACAAAGCTCCAACTGTTTCTTCTTCAATCCAAAGTCTCCTCCAGCGCGTTTTTTATTCACTCTCAGTCCAAGTGCATATTCCTATACGGTTTTGTTTTGTTGAGCATGTGCTAGCATGAATGTGTCGTCTGCACACATTAGAATTAGAACACAAAATGACAATTTTTTTTATTCAAGAGTATTTCAAGTCTTGATCAAATTGAGCAATGGTCAATTTCAAAATGTACCCAATCAAATGGAGTTGGCTCGAATCTATCGAAGTCGGCTTCCGGCAGATAACTCAATTACATAAAAGGGACAATGGCAGTTGGCTAAGTTTCAAGACGATTGGACCATGATTTATCTGAGAGCAGATAACTGAAATTGCATCGCGGAAATTCGCTTTGGATCACGATATTTGCGGGCTTAGAGGTGGATGGATCGAGTACTCGAAGGGAAATTGGAAGTTAAGAGCCTCCATGGCTCCAGCAGCTTTCCAAGATTAGCACAATTTGAATGGTGCCAGCCTAAGCAAATAGTCTCGATGAGCTGAAAATTACTCCTGCAAGTGCAGCCTGTTAGCCCCATATTGATGGTTGAGATCCCCGCAACAACTTGGCCAATAAATCCGCGTAATTCGCGCAATGCAAATGACAAAGTTCGCTGTTTTTAATTAAAACTTTCCAACATTAAGGCGGTTGTTTTTGTTTGGAGTGGAGTTGTTGCCCGATCCAGCGGTTACTCAACTCCAAAAGTAGCTGGGAAAACTTAAATGGAATTAAACAATTAAAACCTCGGTTAATATTTGCTTGGTATTGAAAATGGGGAACAGTAAAAAGTTTAATTGCATGCCACGAACTGAAAAAGACATCCAGCAAGTTGAAACAATTCTGCTGCAAAATCTGGATGATTTTCATGCAGTGGAAACTCCCCTGGTCGAGGTAGAACAACTGTAAATAATGAACTCCTACTGCTGATAGTGTGGGAATAAATCCAACATGGAAAACCTCACAAACGTCTGTAACACGAAAACAATGATCAGGTGTTTGCATTGAAAAGTCCGGGCCGGTTGCAACTTTTCCGTTTTATCAAAATAAATGACGATTATAAAAGAACAGCCATTTATAATTTCGATGCGATAAACAAGCGTTATCCAGTTTTAATTCCAGCAGTGGAAAACTGCGCCCGAGAGTAGTCGTAAAAGCGAACTTCCGGAAAAACTCGCCCAAGTGTTTCCAACAACTTTTACGAGTTTATCTTAAATTAAAATTTACTTTCGAGTAGTTTTCCTCAGCAGGACTTAGGTGAACCCTAAACGGAGTAAACATGATATGGCGGATTGTAATTCGTTGAAAACTGAAGGCAAATAAACTGTCTGCGTACTTCCACAGAGAGAAGGCAACTTCCATCTAATCTACGAAGTATTTCTGGGAATTGTCTAACTTTTATTCAAATCCGCAAAATCAAATTCGGATGCACCGAAAGAATGAATAGAAAAGCTCGCTCTTTGCTCGGCTGTTGAAAGTTGAAAATCGGCTAATCCGAACGAGTTTGATGCTAATACAAGCAGCACTTAACAGTTTAATAAATTACTCCCGCTCGAATTAAGTGCAAATTTATTTTCTTGATTGCGGCCATCGATTTACTTAAAACTAAGAGCTCACGAGTACGTGTCTGGAATCCGGATCTAACTTTTATGTGGAGTGATTCATTCGGTGACGAGAGGAGAATTAGTTTGGATTGTAACAGCTTTAACGCCCAGGCCCAATAAGGATGATACATTTCGAAGCTCTGGCTGGAGCTTTTTTGACATAAAAGCTCAAATGCATCCGGTTCATGAACGTTTGAATTGATTGCTTTGATCAGTCACTGTGTTCTGACTGTCGCAACTTACTGCAACGAGAACTGGGCTCTTTTAAAGCGCAAAATAAATTAGTTTGTCTGAAAAACACCAATCGACGAAACTGTGCAAAATGTAGACAAAAGTGCATGTGTAAAAACCATCAAGGATTAGTTTAATTTCTTTGTTTAATGCTTTTTCATGTCACTGCTCAACTGATTGCATCGAGCAGTTTTTTACCTGCCTTTCCAGCCTTGATAACCACTATTTAACGTAACCGCTAAAATAACATTGTTACAAACGTGTAACCTGGAACAGGAGTTACAGCTAGCAGATTTAACCGGTTCTTTTGGAACCGTCTCATAAAACCGAAACAGTTGAGTGCACTTCGAACCAGCTGCAACCTATTACCAACGTGAACTTGAACTGGAACGTTGGAACCTTGTTACAGAAAAATAACCGTGTATTCCACCTCTAATAATCTCCCAAATAAAAGGTCAAAAAGCCTGTTTTCTTTAGGGATAAAAGGCGTTTTTAATCCAGCTTCACCCCTAATATGCATGCAACCTTAGTTCCTCAATAAATATTATCCTAGACAGCGCAGTTTTTTGCACTACGTCTAGCAAATAAAGGTAAACATTTAACCAAGTAAACAGAATCCGAAAAGTTCCAAGTATGCGATATTCTGCACAAGAAATAATGGCGTCTTGTACCCATCAGTCGAACTCACTTAATTAATTATTAGTAGAAAAGTTAAGGGCTTCCAAGCAGGGAAACAATTTCAATTCGGCCAATTCGGGGAAGATTGGCCAGGGAAACGAGCGAACCTTTGTGTTTAGTTAACTGGAAGAAAACAGACAACTCGACTGTTTCCAGCTGATGCTTATTGGAATCCCGATACTGAAAATGTTCAAACAGATACATTCATTCATTAAGTTTCGACAATTTGGGTCAATTAAATTTGTTGCTTAGTCACCTACTAAAATCGGTAGAAATCATGAACATTTATCTGCTCATCTGTAAATGTTATGACCAAAGTGCCTGTTTTTGTGCCAAAAAACCGTAACTTTGGTGGTAAACTTTGTCAATTCTAACGCTAATTTGGTTTAGGAGTTCTCTTCCATCGAGCAATCCTCATGTCTGGATCAGCGCTCAGTCCTTGGGCTCTAGTGAAGGAGCCCTCAAGATACGCAGCTCTGGTAGCGATACATGCGAACTGCTCCCCAGAACTCCCACACGCTCATCTCCTTAAGTGCCTGAGGGAGAAGCCGATTGAAGCTCTCCTGTCCACTCCAGTGATCGCTCCAGAGTTTTCGTTTGCCTTCGGACCAAGCGTTGATGGAGTGGTGATCGACACTGGCGAACCACAGGGTGAGTAATGGAAGAAGGCTTTTCAGGGTGCGAAAGTTTCAAGCAGTTAGCAGTTTTTTCTTTGCAACTCCTGCAGTTGTCTCGATATTTTGCCCACAGCTACTCACTTGAAAGAGGTTGCACAATGCGAAATAATTGTGAGCATATATATGGGTGATGTTGTTGTCTGGTGGATTCTAGAAAATCTGCTAAATTCTCCGGGTTGTTTAGGAACTTTATGGCCTCTGACACTTTTTCCGTAACTACCCCCTGCAGACCGGGACAAATTGCAAAATTTTCCAAAATCGACTGTTCAGCGGGTTTTCACATAGATTTAAGTGTTTTTCTCGAAAACCGGAGCAGACACGAAAAAACTGCAAGGCAGGGAAAAGTTGGCCAACAAACCAAAGAATCCTTGGTGTAACTTAAAATCCTCCAGTGGCGTGCAGCAAGAAAGATCGTGGCAAAACCCGTGTATGACCCTTAAGAAATACATGACCATGTACTTTCAACGCCCAGTATTTTGCAACGAAAAACGCTAAATGCAGATTAATTTGCGATGTTCTTATGATTTCTTCCGGTGAAATGTGCCTGATGTGAACTTCAAAAAACCGATAATTTTTCGACTATTCGGGTTCTTTCGGGAATTGGAACTTTAAAGGAAACCCTAAAACAGTGTTCAATGTTTGCTGAGGATTCGGGAAAACTTGCAAATTTGAGTTACTCCGAAGAAATTGGTGCTTTTGTAGTTGAAAAACGCAGCTGCAAGCAAAAATTGCGTCGATTTCAACAAGGAATTTTTAGCAAATGATTCGTAGAAAAATTGTAAGATTTCCGGTGCTGCCCTTTTATGGAATCATTCCATTCATGACCCAGAGATCACTGCCGAAAAATTCAACAGATTTAGGAAACGATTAAAGTGCGAACTGGAGCTTTGCTTCCGTTGAATGGAAAGGATCAGGAAGTGAAGCAAAGGGTGTTTTATTAACTAGGAACAGTAGAAAACAGTAGAACCTTTATAACATGGAGGACACAAGCACTAATTCTTCCGCTGAAATAATGTCTACAGACTTTTTTGTATTTACTTCGATCTACCTTTTTACATTGAAGCCTTGAATGTGCAAAACATCAAACATCTGCAGCCAATAAACTCTCCAAAATGAGAAACACTCTAAACTTCCTCCTGAGCGCCACAAAACCGTTCAAGTTAAGCCTACACTTCCCTCCCGAGCAAAGACAAAAACTTGCGTTCTTTGCAAGTTCCGCCAAATGTACGGCATATTCGCCTCATCTTCCCGCAGTCTGGAGCCGTTTTACAAGCCATTGATTAATGCCTTAAACGTTACACACTGTTCCTCCGTTATTTGTTGCTGGTTTCCCAAAACACTGGCTACAATGTTGAGGTATTGCAGACTGGGAAAATCATCAATCACGCAACCGGCATTGTTTTATGAATGATTTTCGACGCCTTCGCTTGAGCGATTTATTTCAAACCAAGATCGTTGCTCAGTTGAAAGGATGTCTATAGCGGGTACAGGTTTTGGGGCTTCCTCAAGCCCTCGTTTCTCATTAACTGCTGAGTTTGCATTAAATCTCATCTTCGCTCTGGCCCCCAACCAGCCGACTTTACAACATTCCTTATTCATGTTCGGCAATAATGTGCGATTAATTTGCATTGTCGGTTTGGCAAACGGCGCGCCAACAACACAATTCGAGAATTAACGGTGGCATTAGAATTCGAATTTGAAGTCAGTGTCGAAACACAAATTAAGGCTCTCTGCTCATCAACAGAAGCGTTTAGCCATTAAAATATTAAGTTGAACGTTGCTAATCCATAGTTTCTTCAGTTTCACCATTGCCGTCTCCAGAACGCTCCATTTCAATATTTGCAATCTGCAAATATTCATTCATTCCGCAAAATGCTGCGGCAAGTGGAATACAATCAAAATTTCGTCCGCGTCCATATCAAATGTTTCATTGTAATATTTCACAATGGAACAATATAATATCATGTGTAGCCGTTCTCAGCCGGTCTCGTTTATATTAATGACGCCAGAGATAAAGCTGTTATGTGCGAAATTCACTAAACACACAGCACAATGATTCCATCTATACGTGTAGTTTAAACTGTTATTAATTGAACCCTTGGCTAATTTATGGAGAGGGGCCCAATCGACGTTTAATGGAAAACCGCAAAACTCGCATCCCTCATTAATTTGAGGCCGACTGCAGTAAATGGCTAAAAAGACTTTGTCGATGTCCCCTACTTGCCTCTTTCTCCTGCTTTGATTTTTTCTCTCATCATCTTTGCAATCATCTTGTCATTATTCTTGTCCAATCAAGTTGATGAGTTTCTGTTGCTTCCCCCAGTTTCTTCACTTGCTTCATCATCTTCCGAATGCTTCAAATGTTAATGCAAATTTAATCAAAATGCTGCTTTTCATCTGGGTCTGCCTTCTCTTTGCTTTTCTTCAAATGTTTAATTCATTAAGACTCCAACAACCTCCGGTGTTCGTAACATATAAAGGAGTAAAACTGGACCGCATCGAGCAAATATCTTCTATCTAGTTTCCCATCACGCCTCAGAGTTTGGGCTGGAAGTTGTCGAGACATAATAGGCAATTCCGATTCCATTTTCTGATCTGGCCCATATATTTCGGCGGAAGAGAAATTTATATTGCGCCCCAGTTAGGATATTAGCAAACAATTTACCTTTGCAGAGAGAGACTGGCGAAGCCGACGAAGTAAATCAATAAACAATGAAGCTATAGGAAAGTTGCCCCCCGATAACCGAACTTATTTAACTTTTGCCATGGTTTGGGCTTCAGGCGTAGCGAGAAAACTCAATTTGCATCATAATGCCGCTGAAATCGTCAATGAAAATCATTATCGTATACTTTAGGGCGGCCATTGTTCAAAATTGAGTTTCCCAGCTTCTGTTTTATGGTCGATGCAAAAGTATCTGCATAGAAGTTGGAGTCCAAACGCATAAAAATTTCAATTCGTCCTCGATCGGTAGTCAGTCCAGAACGGTTTATTTGCGAATAAACGCGAATCGAAAATTTCAGTATCTGGATAGTTCTGATGTGGCAAAAATTGTAAAAACTGATCTAGAGACAAACGAGCGAAAAGACTGTAACGCTTTAGGTATTGAATGATCGAAAATTCCTCCAACTGACTATAAACTGAGAAGATTTAACGTCCTTTTCCAAAATAATGTTTTCCATGTGTAAACAAGTCTGCAAAAAACGAATACGAAACTTATGCAGGCTTCACTCGGTTCCTTTCTCGTTTTGAGGGTTTGAATTTGTTGCCGCACTTTTTTATTCTTTATTTTAGCATTTTATGGATTTAACGTGAATGCGACATCCCGAAATAAATCGATATTCGAATGTTTTCTGAAACTGACGAAGCTTTCAAGTTGTTCGAAAAAAAACTCTTCGTTAAATGAGAACAGGATCCAAAGCTAAAGCGAGTAATGAATCGTTTTGATTACTGATTCTAACAAAAGAGAAGTCAATACCCTTCAACATGAAAAATATCTCTGAATGCTGCTGAATTGAAAAGAAACTTTATGGAGTTTAATTTCATTAATTAACTGTTTCTGTTTAATATCACAAAGTGCTAAAGCCCTTACTTCAAGGGTCTTTAGTTGAAACGCTCCTGGAGTTTTAATTTCTAACTTTGTTCAATATCGGGAAACTTTGCGTGCGCGATTTTGTGGCTTCGCGTTGGTTGTTCTACGGAAAATGTACCAATTAATGAAAACCAACAGCAGCATTCATGTTCATAAAGCTGTAAAGCCTGCAATTTAGTTTTATTTATTATAATTGATCTTTAATTTATCATTTTTTGCTTTGCATTTCAGGTGGTGAAAGCCCTCATTATTCCGACTACGAAGGCGGCGCCAGCAATTCCGGAAAGCCCTCAAAAGGTGAACCACAAAATGCCATCAACATCTTGAACAGCGTTTTACTTCGAAAATCGGTCATATCGAAGTTGAGCCGATACGATTTGCTGCTTGGAGTCGTTAAGGCTGAAGCTTACTTTGCTTTTAACGGTGAAGATGTGCAGGTATGCAATAAATTACAATGTTTATTTGGAATTTGTTTAGTTGAGTTCCGAGCTTCTTCTGCAAGCTTACCGTATATTTGTAGATGGATGTGCAAGAATGTGGGAACTTTTTCACAATCCACATCAAGTTACAAAACTTCTTCCTGGTATGTTCATAACATCCATAAGGGTTCCAACGACATCCAAAAATTCTTAGAAATTTTTTTATGCATTCATTGGTTTAAAGTTAGCCAGGCTGAAGGAGTTTTCCAATTCTTGTTAACTTTTAAGGTAACAAGAGTAGAATTTGAAGAGACAATCACGTCGAGTCGCGGCGCCCAACTGTATTTGAAAGAACGTGCTTGAAAACTATTCTGTCTCTGCAATTTTGGGCGCAAATCTGCCTCTAGAATCGAGCCGTCAAGCTGATAACAGATCGGAATTTTCCTGAATTATGGATCTGACAGTGCGGCCCCTTTAGAGCCAACTTGCATACAAAAGTTCCATTATTTATTCAATAGTTTCATGACAAGTTTCGTCAAGAAAATAAACTTTGCTGCTTTTCCCTCTTTAGCAAGCTTTAGCCCATCAGTTAGTAATGAGCCAGAAATAATTTCGCTAATGAAAGTCGAGGATAATCAACAAAAATAATGCAACCAGCCATAGAAAAATTGGATGTTCTTGTGTATTTCTTTAAAAGTATTACGCAGCTCAATAAATCGTTTGATCGCTTAACCTCAGGGAATAATATTTGCCAAATTGAATTAAAGAGTTTGGTGGCTTGGAAAATTGTTAAGTTGCGCTCTTCATCGCCCCAACTGTGTGGATGCATTTTCAATATTTGCTGCCCAATAAATTTTGATGCGGCTTTGAACATTTTAATGTGTTTGTGTTAGTTTTTTCGATTATTCCAAACCATTAGTTTGTAGAGCGATTTTAGTCAATCTGAGCACTTTTTAAGGGCGCAAAGCAGCAAAAGTTCTCCACTGGCTCGATTAGACAAACTATAACCGCGGCAATTTTCATTCAGATAAATCATGATTCGGCAGTCTTGAAACTTTGCCAACTGCTATTGTTCGACCGTTCTGTAATTGAGTTATCGGCTGAAAGTGAGATGACACCAATCGATTGCAGCCAACTTCTTTTCATATGCCATCCTCAAACGACCGTCCCTTAAAACATTACTGAGTCCCAATTGCTTTATAATGAAGTAGGTTTGTCGTCTGCTCCTGACGTTACTTTGCCGACGGTTTTTCGGGGTTTTCGATCTTTCAAATAAAAGAAAATTAACTGGCTGCAGAAGGTCCAGTCATTATCGCTATCTGGGGTGCGGCCGAAGAGAATTGGGCGACTTGAACTGCTGAAATAAAAACGCAAATTATTTGCAAACGCAACATCAATATAAATTCAAATTTTCAGCACTTCAAAGGTTTGTAACCAGGAGTAAATATTTGATTAAATAAGCTGGAAACTTCTCTGTCTAACGATGCAGGCAAAGCATTTGTGCCAAATATCTGTGGTTGATACTCAGACGTGCAGCCTCGCTTGTGTTTTTTCAGGGACAATTTTTGATGCAAAACGGGGAAATTAGGTCAAGTTCTCGCACTCCCAACTTACATGCCTGGTCATGCTTTCACGTGCTTCCACATTTCGTGAAAAATCAAGTTTTACCGGAATAATTTCTATCAGTTCTGGTGGTTCCCGACTTGATATTCTACGCTATTCACAGTTGTTGTAGAGTCTTCTTGTGAAGGTGACAAACTCCAGGTTTAGTAGTTGCTTTTGCTAAGCTTTCCGTTCAGTTCATGTAGAATCAACTGCCATCCAAACTCATTTGTGGTTAATTTTTTACCTGCTTAAGTTCGGTTATTGAGCGGCATTCGGATCCTCCAAACCGGAAAATTATCGCGGTTCTTTTGCGTGATTGAACCACAATTTTGATTATAGATTCTAGAGAGAATTTAACGCAAAATTGTTCAATAATTTGTTTTGAAACATCCATCTGTTTGATGCTTAAGTGGTGCCGAGCACTTCGGGCACGCCACTGAGAAGAAAATCGAAAAATAGCTGCTTGATGCAAAAGTTCAAAGTTTTTCCACTGTAGCATTACGCAACTGAAAATGTCAGAGCCGCTCAGCAAAGCGACCTAATAATAAAAACTTGAAAAGGTAGTTTCAAACTTGACTTTTACTGGAAGTTTCCTTGATTGCAGTATGGAATCGAAGCGGATCGTCGCACGAAAATCCTGAGAACGTTCGTGAAAAACACGTACAGCTACCATCTAAGCGAAATTCTAGCGACGATTGTTAACGAGTACACTGATTGGGAAAGGCCCGTTCAGCATCCAATCAATATTAGGGACGAAACGTTGGAGGCGCTTTCAGATGCCCAGTTTGTAGCTCCCGTCGTACATACCGCCGATTTGCACTCAGCCGAGCATCGAAACTCCTATTTGTACGTTTTTGATTACCAGACGAAGTTTGGTGATTATCCGCAGGTGAGTGAAACCGACTGATTATTGCTAACCGAAAAAAGAGAGCCGGGAAAACTTTTAGATGGAAAATTCAACCGAATATTGCTTTACAGTTGGATGATCGTAGATAAAGAAAGAGGCTCCCTTGCATTTAGCTGGAAGCATAACTCTAGGCTCGCAACCGTATTAATAACACTCCTGACACGTCCATAAATTCGAGCAACTTTAAGTAATAATTCCAAAACCTCCCCAAGGCAAAATTGCTCGAAACTTGCCGCGATATTAGACGGTGTAATTAAGCACGTTAAGTTCAACCTGCATTCGCACCTCGTACGGCATTGCGATTTGTGGCTCTTCTTTTCTACTAACATAATTGGATTTTGTTGAAGGAAAATAGAYACGCATGTTTAAACATGCATAGAGCTTGACGAAAAAGAGAGAGCCAGAAGCAAGCCAGGAAAGCAAGCGCTTTCTGGTAGCAAAAGTTTGTTTTGTAAGGTCGCCAAAAAGCATCGGATTTAGATAAGAATTAAAAAGGCAAATGAAAAAATGAGGTTCCAAATTTCTGTTTTTTAAGTTTATTTGATACAACGGCCAGACGTCCAAAATCTACGTTTGAAGTTCATTGGCTTGTTTCCAGCAGAATTTTCAAGAAGAAATCAACGTCGAGCTTTCGTGGTTGAAGTGAAATGCCTTTAATTTTGAATGTGCAACTGCAAACAAAAAGTCAAAATGACCCTCTAGTCGTTCCTGATTATTATATATTTTTTCATTTCTTATGCATACATTAATTGCTTTTTGACTTGATGTTTTGAGCATAACTTATATGTTTGCTTCATCATTTGGTGCTCAAAACACAGGGTTTCCGAAAAATGCCCATACAAAGTTCTACTGCATTTCGTGACCGGAAACCACAACGATGTTGTCTTTTTACAAACTTCTTTTTGGGTATTTCGCCTCAAAAATTTTTGTCTTTGAAAAAGACAGAATTTCCTCACGTCTTTTATTACAGATTGATAAATAGTGCTCCTATTTTGCAATAAGAACGAATTATTTATCAAAAAATTGATTACTTTTTGATAAATAATTCGTTCTTATTGCGAAATAGGAGCACTATTTATCAATCTGTAATAAAAGACGTGAGGAAATTCTGTCTTTTT